GTTTTCGGGAGGCCTGGGTGGCTCAGCGGTTGAGCACCTGCCTTCAGCCCAGAGCGTGATCCTGGAGTCCCAGGATCGAGTCCCTCGTCAGGTTCCCGGCATGGAGCCTGCTTCTCCCTCTGCCTGTGTCTCTGCCTCTCTCTCTCTCTCTCTCTCTCTCTCTCTCTCTCTCATAAATAAATAAATAAATAAATAAATAAATAAATAAATAAATCTTAAAAAGAAGAAGAAGCCTCATTAGTGTTTCTCATGGCTTTTCAATGTCTGTTTTCTTTCCTACATTCTTTGGCTTACTTTATCATTGTGATAATCCTATATGTATAAGCCCTCCCTTCCTCCTACCCTGCCATATGCACGCGTGCACACATGCATACACACATACCCCCCTAGACCAAAAGGTTAATGGAATGTTAAGCTGGTAATACGCAAGATTAACCATGATGTATTTATTTATTGAGTAAAGGAAACTCTTTATTAGGTCAAAACAGCTACACTTAAAGAACATTATGCACCAAACTTTAAATGTGGTCCAATTAGGAAGCATTTTATGAAACACATTCTTTCATATGTGTAGGTAATTTTTTAATATTTTCTAATTTAATTTTGAGTAGCTGATACATTCAGTCTTTAAAAATTCAATGGTTACAAGAGTTCTTTTCTGTTTGCTAGCTAGGATGCTGATTCATAAATTGTTAAATAAGGCCAATATGATCTTTTTAAAAAGTCAAATGATTATTAAAAGTTATAATGGAAGAGTCTGATTTCCACTTCACTTCCAGACCCCACTCCATCCCTTCCTCCTACAGGTACTTCCTTTGGTTAGTTATTTTGTGAGTCTTCCTACGGCGTCTTTATAAGAAAACAAACAAATGAGGTTATATAATTTTTACAGAAAGGTCAGTGTAATGAGTACTACTAAATATTGATCTGCAGCTTGCATTTCTCACTGAACAATTTATCTTGGAGATCTTTACCCGTTAGTGTATTGAGAGCATCCACATTGCGGGGTTGAGGTTATGCACAGTATTCGAATGTGTAGATACACTTTTATTTGTTTATTTGATTCATCCGTAAATGATGAATTTTTTTTAGTTGTTTTGTCTTTTGCTGTGAAAACAATGCTACACTGCTCTATGTAATCATATTTACTTATAGCTGTCAGAAGTATTTCCCACAAGTGGGATTTCTGGGTCAAAAGAAAATGCAATTGTAATTTTGAATGATGATGCCAACTTGCCCTTCAGAAGAGTTGTACTGCTTTTCATTCCCATCAAAAATGCAGGAGAATGCCTCTTCCCACACTTATGCCAAAAGAGTATGTTTTCAGACTTTTGGAATTTGGTCAATGCATGGATGTAAAAAAAAAAAAAAAAGGGATCCCTGGGTGGCGCAGCGGTTTGGCGCCTGCCTTTGGCCCAGGGCGCGATCCTGGAGACCCGGGATCGAATCCCACGTCGGGCTTCCGGTGCATGGAGCCTGCTTCTTTCCTCTGCCTGTGTCTCTGCCTCTCTCTCTCTCTCTCTCTGTGACTATCATAAATAAATAAAAATTTTAAAAAAAATGGCATCTCAGTGTAGTTTACTTTTCATTGTGTTCATTATGAACAAAATTAAGAATTTTTTTCTCATGCTTAAAGGCCATTGTTTTCCTTTTACTGTAGATTTTCTTTTCTTGTCCTTTGATCATTTTTTCTACTAAATTGTTTGGTTTTTTTTCTAACTCATCTGTGATAGAAGTTGCAAATATATCTTTCCAGTTAATCATTCAGTTTTTGTCTTTACTTGATTCGATTTGATTTGATTTCCCTTCTACATTTTTTTCGAATAAAATGTAAAATATAACACAGTCCTTGTTTGCATAGTATTTTGGAGCTGTAAAAAATCACCATGCAAAGCAATCTTAATTAATGGGGAAAATCACAGTTGTTTCTCGACTTGAGCAAGTTTTTGCCAAAACATGAAAAACTCCCTTGCTGTCAGTTATAAATGTATCCAAAAAAGAAAAAAATAAGAAAACCAATACATGTTTAGCACTCTCTGACATTAGAAACATTAAGAAATGAAGTGTTTTGTTAAAGTCTTAAAGTAGTTTGAACAGTGCTTGCGCCTTCTTTTCATTGTGTACTTTATGATACATTGAACATCTTTTCTAGGTGTTGGTGGAATGTCTTACTTGGGTTAAGTCTGAATCTGCCAGCATTTTATTCTTTGCTTTTCAGTTTCATGAAATATCTTCAAGACGTGTGCAGTTTGGGCCACCTCACTTCCTCTGCGATGCCTTCATCCCTTTCATCACAAAGACTTTGCTTGGTGAGGTGAATAAGTTCACCTTCCCTCAGGTTGTGTTTGCCCCTGAAATGGGGGCAGTGTCAACATTCCCAGCTGTTTCTTCTGTAAATCCACTTACATTCCATTCAATTTCACCCCGAGTATTGTCACTGTTTGTTTTTGCTGTAGTTCTATCCTTTTTTTGGCCAATTCCCTCTTTTAATTATCCATTTTTATAAAATGCCTCATGGGTTTTTCACTAGGAGACAAGAAGACAACACAACTACACACTTTGCTGCCTGAACATGACCTGAATAACAAATAGGCCATTATCAACCACTGATAGACTTGGAAAGAAGTGACATGATTGATCTATTGAGCATGGTGAACATCAGTTATTTACATAGGGATTTCTGGATTGAGGAGGTAGCAGAGTTTTCATTTTACGCCATTAGTCACAGTTAGTATACAAGTAACTGGAACTTAAATCTTGTTTTGGGGGGACTGGTTTTATTAACTGAGTGGTAGGGACTTAAATTTTTGCATATCCAAACCATGCAAAGCAGGAACTTCCAGAATAAAAAAAGTGCATAGAATAACGTAACAAATATGTACATACTTACCTGTGAGCGTGGAAAGTTACTCACATTCTGCTGTCTGTGCTTTAAGTGTTTTCAGTAAAGGAAACAGATCATGACAAATAAGGTTGAAGTTCTCCTTTGTCCCTACCTCCCTTCCTCTTCCCATTCCTTCCCTCCCCACATACAGTCATCATGAATTAAAAGAGTATCATTTATTCTCTCTCTCCCCCTTCCCTTTTTCTTTTTAATTTGAATATAGTCAACACATGATGTTACATTAGGTTCAGGTGTACAACTTAGTGATTTGACAAGTTTATACATTATAACGGCACTCACCACAAGTGTAGCTGCCACCTGTTCCATTACATCACTATTACAATATCACGGACTGTGTTCCTTATGTGACTTGCTCATTCCATCACTGGAGGCCTGTATTTGCCTCTCCCCTTCACTTACTTACTCCCCCAAATGTCCCCCTCGCAGCAACCATCAGTCTGTTCTCTGTATTTATAGTTCTGATTCTGCTGTTTATTCATTCATATTTTTTAGATTACATTTATGAGTGGATCATCTGGTATTTGTCTTTCTCAGTCTGACTTATTTCACTTTCTAGGTCCATGCATGTTGCCTCCTATGTCACGATCTCATTCATCTATAATGGCTGTGTAATACTCCATTGTATATATAGGGGCACTTGGGTGGTTCAGTCAGTTAAGCATCTGCCTTCAGCTCAGGTCATGATCCTGGGGTCCTGGGATCGAGCCTACTCAGCAGGAAGCCTTCTTCTTCCTCTCCCTCTGCTTATCCCCCTCTGCTCATTCTGCCTCTCTCTTCAAGAAGTAAATAAAATCTGTTATAGAAATTCCACTGTATCTATGTGCCACATTTTCTTTACCCTTTCATCTATTGATGGACACCTAGGTTGCTTCCATGTCTTGACTATTATAAGAATGCTGCAGTAAACATAGGGAGGGGTGCATATATCTTTCTGAGTTAGTGTTTTCATTTTCCTTGGGTAAATACCAGGGGGGAGGGGGGTGATTGATCATATGGTATTTCTATTTTGAATTTTGTGAGGAAAGTGCACACTGTCGTCCAGAGTAGCTGTACAATTTACATTCCCACCACTAGTGCACAAGTGTTCATTTTTCCTCACATCCTTGACAACATTTGTTTCTTTTTTTTCTTAATTTTAGCCATTCTAACAGGTGTGAGGTGATATTTCATTGTGGTTTCATGTAAAAGAATGAAACTGGCCTATTTTCTAACACCATACACAAAAATAAACTCAAAATGAATTAAAGACCTAAACAGGAAACCTGAAACCATAAAATCCTAAAAGAAAGCACAGGCAGTAATTTCTCTGACATCAGCTGTAGCAACATTTTTCTAGATATGCTTCCTGTGGCAAGGGAACAAAAGCAAAAATAAACTATTGGGATTATATCAAAATAAGAAGCTTCTGCAGAACAAAGGAAACTGTTAGGAAAACAACAACAGACAACCTACTGAATGGGAGAAGGTGTTTGCAAATGACATATCCAATAATGGGATAGTATCCAAAGTATATAAAGAACTTAAACAACCCAGCACCAAAAAAACAATCGTATCAAATGGGCAGAGGACCTGAATAAACATTACAAAAACATACAGATGACCAACAGCCATGTGAAAAGATAACTTGACATCACTAATCATCAGGGAAATGCAAATCTCCCTTTTTTAAAAACATTTCTGACTACAATTATTAAGGCCTCAGTGAAATATGCAGTATTTGTGGGTGTGCTTTTAAATTTGCATTATAATTTGTTTTCTGTTCATCATGCCTTCCTTTGTTTCTTATATTCTTATTTCCTTCTTGAATTAATACAATTATCTTTTGATGTCTCCCTTTTTTCCCCTTAGTGTAGAAATGGTATTTTCTATTTTGTCCTATTTTTATTCATTTAGTGAAATAACTTAGAAAAATAAAAGCAAATAGTAGACAAATGATAAAGTGATGACCTGTTCTTGTTAAGAATGCTGCGAATTTCCCCTCACCTCTTCATAGAACAAGAGGCCAAAGCCTAGAAATACCCATATGTGTTTTGTGATATTTTCAGGACTATTTTTCCGGTGTATTTGACAACCATTTTCTTCTGCTGTCCTCCAGATTTATCCAGGAGATTGAGCATGCCCTGGGACTTGGCCCAGCCAAACAGTGCCCTCTTCGAGACTTTCTCACTGTGTACATCAAGAACATCTTCCTCAATCAAGTCTTGGCAGAAATCAACAAGGAGATTGAAGGAGTCACCAAAACATCTGACCCCTTGAAGATCCTAGCTAATGCAGACACCATGAAGGTGATGGGGGTGCAGCGGCCTCTTCTGCAGGTAATAATATACTTTGTATTATTTTTATCAGCAGTTTTCATGGACTTGGCAAGAAGTACAAATTAGAAAAAGAAGAGAAGAAAAATTACCATCTGTTTCTATATTCACCAGAGACAAAACAAGAGGAAATAAATTAAACCGGCACTAGGGAAATTTAGAACTAATGTAGAGATAATGGAAATTCCTTCAGATCTTTAAGGAAAGGTGATTGGCTTTGCATAGGGAAGATGGTGAGTCTATTAACATGCAGGCACCTCCTCATTATTTGCCTGGAACTCATCCTGAAAGGAGTTCCTTTTCCCCTGGTGTATGTACCAGGAGTAGGAAGGACTTAAGGGAAGAAAATTACTGTGCCAAACCTCAACTACCAACAAGGAAACCCTTGTGCCATTTTACGGCAGACTTACCATAAAGAAGTACGCTAGCTCACAGCAAATTTGAAGCCACCAGCAAACTGGCCTTAAAAGTCAGATCATTTAATTCAAGATCTTGTTAATATTAAAGATTTTACTTTGACTATATAAGGAAATGGTTTCTAGGCAACAGAAATGAAGTAATTTGTTAGTAGTTATTTGGATTTATAGGCTTGAGGTAAATTTATTTTATATCCATTTTAGCCAATGTCTCAGATGTAAGTATAAAACCAAAGGAACATTAGCATAAACTTAAGTTATATATGTACATTAACTATTATTACACATATGTACATTAACTATTATTACACTGTTTTTGTATCTTATAGTATTTCTTCATTTGAGAAAATGATGGGGTACAATAGCATATTTTTATATAAGTTGCACAAGATAAGGATATCTCAAGTGTGGAAGACCTGAGGTCTTTGAAGAAAACTTATGTAAACCGAAAGGAGTTATAGTTACTTTAGTGGCTTGCACTTACTGCCTTTTTTTGTATGTTCCTTGGTTTTTGAGTTAGTACCAATGCTAGACTACTTTTCTTAGGCAAGTGTTCTAGTTATGAGCATTCTATTTTTTTTTTTTTAAGATTTATTTATTCATGAGAGACACACAGAGAGAGTCAGAGACACAGGCAGAGGGAAGAGCAGGCTCCCTGCGGGGAGCCTGATGTGGGACTCAATCCCAGGAACCTGGAATCACACTCTGAGCTAAAGGCAGACACTCAACCGCTGAGCCACCCAGGCATCCATGAGCATATTTTTTTAGGAGCAAACTCTTCTGTGGTATTGAGAGACCAGAATAGAGGCTTCTCCCAGAGCTTGCATAATAAGAGCATCATACCTGGGAAAGCATTCATTTGGATCGTCTGGGCCTGTGTGAGATCTGTTCCCTGTGCAGGATCTATAGAGTATGGATGCAAGGAAGCGAGAATGGCCAAGCCATGGGTTTACTTGTCCCTCCCATGAATTACCCTTCCACGGGCTCTTTGCAAGGCTGGGACTTTATCTCAGAGTCCCTGTTGAGATGTCACCTCCACAGGGCAGCTTTTCCTGACTGTCCTACCTAAGTACATCCCCTTCTCTGATTATTCTACACTCTTCCCTCCCTCCAACCCCCAGTCTAGACCCAACACTGAAGCTGAAGTCCCTGGACTGTATCATCAAAGCTCCCTTTCCAGGTGATTTACTATCTGTTTCTGCCAATGAGAAGCCTTAGAAGCAAATTAGAAGAGGTGAGAGAAGAGAGATTAGGGCTGTTTCTTATCTCCTTCCTCTCCACTTTGGATTATTGGCCTGGCTCTGGGTGCATCCCTCTAGAGCCAGAGGTCCTGCCAGGTGACACCTGCTCCCTAGCCCCAGCTCCTACTGGATTCTGGTAATGTCATTTCTGCCCCTTGCCCGTTGATGACAGCTTTCTGCTATGACTAGTCCCTGGGCACCTCCCCATCCCTTGTTGCTTCTTTCAGTACTGTCCATACCTCTGTAATTCCACCTCTTTGTTAATGTTTCCTCATCTGAATCATCTGCATGGAATTCTCTTTTTTTCTCAGGATCCCAAAGGAATCTCTCCAGTTAGTCACTATTTTAACTCTTTAGTTCTATTTTCATCTTAAACACAACCACCATACTTATTAGTTCATCAATTCTCTAGCTTTCTGTCTTTTCCCAATAGAATGTAAGTTGCAAAAGCATAGTGCAGTACCAGGTAGCAAAAAGGTAGTTTGATAAATAATTTATTGAATGAATGGATAGATGGATGGATGGGTAGACACAGTGGGTAAGTTTTGAGAGTCTGAAATAACCACAGAGTCGGTGTGGGAAGATGAGAAATAGAAAGTGACAAAACCTTGTTTGTATCTAGCTTTTGTCAGACCATATAATTAACTTCCTCTCATTCAGAAAACCTTCCAATATTTATGTCCCTGCTGTGTCATGCTCCCTGCTAGCAGTACAGTGCAACTTTAAAATGCTTAGTGAATATGTGTAATATGCTTAGTGAATTCCAAAGAAAACAAAGGCAGTGATGTACTATAGAGCATATCTGCATACTGAAAATGCTGGTGTATTTTACATGATTTTCAGCTTGAGAAGCAAAAACACATTAAAACTCATAACTAGTTGACTATAATCTGGGCCATGTCAGGGCCACACCTTGCCAGCTAAATGACATCTCGGGGCAGCCTACTGCTGTCTTATTAAATTGCTCCCAGCCTCATCACCAGCTTGTTTTTTAAACTGATTACTCCATTCTGAGGCTAGATGAGAACTCCAAGTTCACCTGCCTTGTCTTTATCTGAGTCAAGATAGAATTCTATGTGACTAAATCTTTAAACTAAGGTCCTTCAACTTTTTCATCTCCAAATTTGTTGTCACAACCAAAAACACCTGCTTTCTTATTTATTTTGTTGCCCTTCCTTCATAAAAATTTTATTTTCTGAGAATGCAAATTTTAGAACATATGAATACATTTGTTTAATATTCTCAGAATAATGAGATGTAAAAAAATAAATGAGATGGTTATTTTCCTTTCACATTTTGAGACATTCTCTGGCTTTATAATCATCATAAATTGTTTTCAAACATAATTTTTCATGGTCAAGTTTCAGTGTTTCTTTAATGTCACCCTAACACTTTCTTTTCATCACCTTAACATTTTTATTAGGCTAATTGTAGGTAAGTAATCTGAAGAGAAAATAGGTAATTCTCAAAAATTTTTGCTGAGAGTCCAAAACAACTGTTAAGAAGGGAGTTTGGAGAAATACATATATGTGTAAAAGATGCAAGTGGGTTAAATAGTTACTTGAAGTATAAAAATGTCCTTTGAAACCATTCCCTCTGCTGGACTGTCATTTGGTCAGAGAAGAAAGGGTTGCAGCTTTGCCCTGAGGCAGCACCCAGTGTCACACAGCATCAGCACAACTGAATTCTCCAGGGGGGAGTAGAAGGACAACTGTCTCAGTGCTGCTTTCATTTGTTTGATGATGTGCAGATGCAGAGAACCCCAGAATGCTTTGTCCTTACCTCCCTGAAATGGCATCGGGCAGTAGAGACAATCTGTTATAAGGGGCATTTCCATGGGTGATAACGTGTTTTTGAATCCATAATTTCACTGTCTAGACACGAATTCATAGAAGGGAAGGAAGGAAGTACATTGGAAGGAGGAGATGACAAACACCATCTTAATAGGTGAAACAACTGTGCGAGTATTGGCCCAAAACAATAGCATAGGATTGATAGTAATTATAGTATCAATTGTATTCATAGTAGTAGGTAGTAGTAATGATAGCAGCTAACACTTTTAATAGCATTTAATATGAGCCAGACACGATTCTGATTATTTTATATGTGCTGACTTGTGTTTTACATGTATTGGCAACAGCTTAATGAGGGTGGCGTTCCTATTACAGGGAGGAAACTGAGAAATAGTGAAATTAAATAACTTTCCCCCAGTCACATAGCTAGCAAGTACTGGAACTATAATTCAAACCCAGGCAACCTAACCCTGGAGTCCAGTGTCTAAATGACTTCTACTTAAAATGTAGCCTGAGGAGTATGCCTGTCTGCAAGCTATTTGTTACCAGTCTGCTGTGAGATGTACAGAATTTGAGAGTAAGCGTTTAGACGCCCTCCCTCCTTTTAAAGGAATTTGATATTGCCTATCGAAACTAATAATCAAAAAAGAAGGATTTGTGCTTTGTAAATCTTTGTGGTTTAAAAATTTATTTATTAATCAATTTCTGTTGTATTTTATAAAAGTATCAATCTACAACACATAGGAGGGGTGGACAGGCCTGGGCTGGGCTCTCACCATAGTTAGGGACACACTGCCCTAAATTTCTTACTCCTTTATGTTGCCTCAGAGAGAAAGAGGTAGAACACAGAACCAATCATCTCCCACCTTGGTGCCCAAAGCACTTCCAATAGATGGAATAGCTTGAATATTTTTCACAGGGGGTTCTCTCCTAAATCCTCAACTCCTAGAACAGTGTCTACTATGGAGGAGATACTTAATATTTAATAAATGGATGAATGGCTAAATCACCGAAAGTGAATGAATTAATAATGGCTTCCTTAGTACATGGATACATGTGTGCATGCCCCCCCCCATCCAGGATCCATGGTTGTAGGTTTAAGATTGCTGGTAATGCTTGAATTAAAATGTTACAGTTCTCACTCCTCTGGTGCTGTATCTACATGAACGCAGGATTGAACATACCTCATGGCCTTATTGCCTGATTCCTCTGGTGTAATCCCTGTTTTCTTTCTTTCTTTCTTTCTTTCTTTCTTTCTTTCTTTCTTTCTTTCTTTCTTTCTTCTTTCTTTTTTCAAAATGGCTTCCACCTGTTGCAAGGCAAAGCATGCTGATTCAAATTAAAGAAATCTCTTAGGAGAGAAATGAGCATCTGGCATTCTGGACATGGAGCTTGGAAAAAGTCAGTTTGCGTGGATAGCCTTTCAGTACTTTAGACACCTACAGGAGTCTACAAAGTTTCCATGCCCAGACATTAGGAAACAGCCACTGGGTTTTGGGAGGATGTCATTTAATTCACTTCTTTTTTGTGTCTCCATCCAAAAAAAAGGCGTT